AGATCATCAAAAATGGGATTAGGCTTGTGAACAGGGTACCAGAGATACATCGTGCTCCTGTTATCTCGACTATCAACTTGCTAGACTTGTACAGTATAAATACAGTCTTCCATATGCGACAAACGAAAGGAGCTAAACTTCAATTGGCCAAAATTAATGGTTGTAAGATTCAATTGGGTTCAGGCAAATGGAGCAAAAAAGGACCAGGTTACTGGTCTTTCAAGGATATTATACGATCTTTTCAAAACAGGTTAAGGTCTCAAATTGTCCTCCATTCCACAACACTAACACGTTAAAGTTACCATCATTGCATAAAGCGATAGTCTGGTCAAACAGCGTGTTATCATTTAGTTCGAGGATTTTAATCCAGGCGCTGGGGCAATTATTTCTTGGCTCACGTCTACGGGTTTAGAGAATTTTAATCACAGTCTTACGTGCCAGAATTTTCGAAGGCCACACGGAACCACCTGCAATTATTTGCCAATGTTGTCACATACTGCTTTTGTTTTACAATTCCGCTGAGATCGAGGATGAAAATGATAGTGGACAGTTTTACACACCTTTTAACTGGGGAATTCGCTTATCGAGCAAAGAAAATTTATGAATGACAAACTTTAGAAGAGTTAATTCGTCCATGGGGTTCATTATTAACTTTTTACACTTGAGAGACGCCCTTCAGTCGCCATTTGATAAAATTTCGAACATAGATTTTTTATTTACTGCTCAAAAAAATATCGTCAGCTTTATAGTAGAAAATCTTTGAACGTCTATCCTCTTTCAGCCAAAAAATCGTCAAGTGCAAAGGGTTAAACATCAGAAAATTGTATTAAAGTTACGTCGTTGTTAATACTATAACTGTCAAATAAGTCAAAATGACTTGTTTCGGGTATTTTATCTTGGCAATTACTGCGGGTATACAGCTGCTTATGGCAAAATTAATATTGACTTTTATTGTAAAGATAGAAACGTGATTATATGTGTATAATTATTTATCTTTATCATGCCATTTGGTATATGTAACTGCTCATTACACCGACTATTTTATTTTAGACGTAATAATTCATTTTCTGAGTAATTTATAATTTATATTACATACATATTAATCTATACTTTCATTTGCATTCATTAAAATAGAACTGACCGAAATCAATGATTTCTTAATCATTTTTAGGTCTGAAGAAAGTTCTGACTAATTAGTTGCATAATCTAAACAAAATTTATTTCATCGATTGATATAGATATAACGAGTTTCAAATTTGTGTAATTCTTTAAAATTCCATGACGAATTTACTGATCTTAGGCTCTGAATAAGCATTTTCTAACGATGAGTTAACTCGTCATCCCCAGTTAAAGGATCAAAATGTATAAAAAGATAATTAGTAGAATTACTTTGATATTATTCCAAAATTTTGTATTCGTATAATTATTTTAATTCCACTTGATAAAAATAGAATAATTTCACTTAATGGAAAAATTGAAAACAAAGATACAGATGATCTAAAGAGTAAAATATTATTGATAAGTAACATAAACATGTCAAATCAATTCATCCTCGACGAACTATTGTCATTATTGTAATTAAGAACTAAATACCGTTCTTAACTGATACATAAAATTTCGTAAAAAAATGTTAACTTAATGTTTCGAGGAACTCGTTATCATTGGTTTACAACAAGAACTTAATTGTTACGTCTTGAGTGACTTAGAACAAAGAAGCACTCTGTTGTTAAGGTGTAACCATTGTGCTGAGACATTCAATGACAAATTAACAAGGGTCTATCAAACGTCTCACTCAATATACTTTCCTTCGTTATATATTATATAAAATATAATATACATAACATATTATGCCGAATATATTTTCCTAACCAGACTTGGACGAAATTTATTGCAAATAATAATTTAAAAGTAATTATTTCAAACAAATTTAAAAATTACTTGATAGATAATATAACTAACTGATGTTATTTTGATATACATAATTAAATAATAAATCGAAGAACTATTTCTTAAAATTTGTTTTCGAAATAATATTCAATATAAATATTGAACAATAAGTACAGTAATAATTGTAATAACAATGTCAATAAATAGTAATAAAAATTTGATATTTTATTAAGAAACTAAACATTTCTGTCAAAATCAAGTAAGAATTAATATATAATTTCTTTCACGAAGTGATAAATAAATTATTTAATTGTAAATACATTAATTTACTTTTTGTTGGAAATACTTTATAAAATATTCGTATTAATTCACAAACGAATTATTTCGATAAATTAAAAAGATAATTTTAAAATAATGAAATTTGAAAATCCATCAAAAGGTCCAAGTCTGATCTCTGTTACTATAGTAACTTATGATTGGTAAATAAGATACCTTTAAAAATTAATTTTCGATACAAACAATTTACATTTCCTGTGAAATACGACGTGAAATATTTATGTATAATTTAAATTTAATTTTATGAATAATTTTGGGAAGTACGTTATTTTTAAATATGAAATACTTATGAAAATTCCTCGAAACTCGATCCAGGTTACTCGAGTCATATGAACACGGAAGTGTTTGAACTCTAATTAGAAACGATCTGTATAGTGATTACGTGAAATGGTTATACAGAGCGTTTCGTGTAAATTGTCTTGAGATATATTTCTCAAAACATGCCGCTCCATTTGAAATATACTATTGTACGATAGACATTGGAAGCGTGCTCCAAGGACACCGATAAATCGTACTAGTCACGATTTGAAAACGTTATGCGGTTGTACTGTGGAATTATAACAGAAGTACAAGTAAACAACTAATTATTCGAAGCTATTTTAATATACGGTAAATGACAATGCGCGAATCCCGATCGTTTTCCGTGCCTCTCCCATTTCAGGATATATGTAAACAAATTAGAAACGATGAACATCGTAAAGATGCCGGATGAGAACTGGGAATGATAGTTTTGCTGAAGAGGATCGAGGTCTTCAGGAAAATAAGGCAGATTGGCTTGAAGAGTGAAAGGGGGAGCCACTGAGTATTATAAGGTGGATTCTTATAATGAGATTCGATAATTTGATATCCGACGACTATTTGATATTTTTTAATTTTCATATTAGTAAATTTGATACTTTTTAATTTCCATATTTGTAAATTTTATACCTTTTAATTTTCATATTCGTAAATTTAATACTTTTTAATTTCTATATTTATAAATTTGATACTTTTTAATTTCCATATTTGTAAATTTGATACCTTTTAATTTCTATATTTATAAATTTGATACTTTTTAATTTTCATAATTGTAAATTTGATACTTTTTAATTTTCATAATTGTAAATTTGATACTTTTTAATTTTCATACTTGTAAATTTGATACTTTTTCATTTTCGTATCAGTGAATTTGATACTTTTTAATTTCTATATTTGTAAATTTGATACTTTTTAATTTCTATATTTGTAAATTTGATATTTTTTAATTTTAATATTTGTAAATTTGATACTTTTTAATTTTCGTATCTGTAAATTTGATATTTTTTAATTTTTATATTTGTGAATTTGAAACTTTTTAATTTTCATATTCGTGAATTTAATATTTAACGGTTTGATATCCGATAATTTAATATTCGAGGATTTGATAGTCAACGATTTCATATTTGAGAATTCGATAGTCAGCGATTTCATATTTGGAAATTCGATATTGAACGAATCGATATTCGATAATTTGATATTTGACGATTTCACATTTCATAATTTAATACTTTATTATGCTAATATCTGCGAATTTTATATTTGATAATTTAATATTCAAGAATTTAATACTTTACGATTTTATATTTGATAATTCAATATTTGATTATGTAATATTTCATATTTGACTATTTAGTATTCCTCAATTCGATATTTGACTATTTAATATTTGATAATTTGATATTTGATTATTTAGAATTTAACAATTCGATATTTGAATACTCAGTATTTAACAATTCTGCATTTAACTTCTTAATATTCGACAACTTGATATTCAACAAATTAATATTCAACCATTTGATATTCGACAATAGGAATATTCAATTATTTTACTTGACCTTCGACAATTCCACATTCAACGAGTAAATTAAAAACTGTTTATTTTTAAATGTAATGACTATAATCGAAGCAGAGATACGTAATGCTTGCATACAATAGTTACATTTATCACCTGACAAGTATATATAAATGAGAAAGAAAACCGGTACAGTACCAAGCACGATTCTAACATTCGAAGACAAATTGTGTCATTACATTCGATAATTATTTCAAAAATAGAATCCCTTATAAACTTCAATAATTCAATCTCTGACTTGAAAAATAGCTGCTTGTTTATATTCATAAACGATAATCTATTACTCCTTTAATAGCAAAACTGACACCTATTATCTAAACCAAATTGACATAATCACGTACCTCTCTTTATACTCTTATTTAAACTTCATATTAGAAAAATGATATCAATCCTCAATAATATCTTGAATTTCTTTATACTCATATTTACTCTTCACATTTCGACTTCGATCACTCAAATCGATAAAAAAGATTATTATTCGTTATTAATACATAAAGGAAATAATTAATTATTATCCCTTTCATAGCAAAAATAGCACTTACACTATTTCACAAGAAATACTTACACTAAATAATATATAATAATATATCTTTTTGATACTCGTATTTATATGTATCAAAAATAACAATTTGCTATACCTCTTTTCACACTCACATTTACACGAATGTAAACAAAAACAAAAAGGGACATAAACGCACATGATCGAAATACGAAAGTACATTCCGCCATATATTTAACCAGGAACAGACTTATCAAGATGAACGCGATTAAATTCCTGAGTATTCGTGCATCGTACATAAAAGTACAATAAATGGCTTTGAACTTCTAATTGGCAATGCTCTCGTATAATTCGAAAACGTAATGCGAAACATAATTGATTACGCTGATTGAACTCGTGGTAACTTACCCTAGACAAGAACGGAAGTAGTCCACTCTTCCAGTTGTTAGTATTGCGGTTGGCATGCGTTCAAAGAATGAAAATACGTTAAAGTTAAAGTATACGAACAAGCTATTGTGAATGTCTGGCCACATGCTCGCCATTGAAGTCACCATGTGACTCGTCGCAATGATAAATCAAGCAATAGCACAGCGAGAAAATTGCACGAGAACACGTTAACACTAGATCTATCAAGGGGGGTCAAAATGACCTGTTTGACATTTCTTACAATTAGTATTCATTTTCAATACATTTTGTTCCCTAAAATTTTGTATAACTTTTTCTAAAATATGCAAATAATTCATTCTGTAAAGCAGTTTTCTTTTTTTTTTCTCTATTTGGTGTAAAATTTTATGCAGTATACCTCCATGTACCGAGATGAGTCACTTTGACCCCCCACGGAACGTAGGTAAACTTGTGATTTTAGAAGTTTCTCATATTATCTTTGCAATGGTTCGAATACATTTTTAGAAAATTAAATATATTTTCGTACATGTACTTTGTACAAAATTACTATAAAAAACATATATTATGTAGTATCGCAAGTTTTCCACTGCATGTACACGTGGTTTTACGAAAGTCACCGAGGGTTCGAAAGCCAGGTCAGTCAGAAGAACCCTGGGCGATGCGTTTATGCATAATTATTTTTTAAATGATTGTTATTATATTATTATTGTTATTCATTTTATATTCAATTTTCGCTGAGGAAATAGAAAAATACATAAAAACGTAAAAATTGCTATGTCTTTTCTTAAATGACTTATAAATTTATGAAACAAGTCATTTTGACCCCTCCGGTAGAAGTAGGTATACGTCAATCGTTGGTTGTTCTAGTGTTAACTCCAAAGACTATTCGTGCACTTGGAACCACCCTCGTGGAGCATGGGACACCAAAGCTGCTTGCTACGTGAATTCGTTAAGCACGATCGCTGAGTTTCTATGTGCGATCAAACGGTTAGGAAAAATACACCCGATCAGTGGCCTTCTACGAACAGGGCACGTCGAAAAGATTGATTCATCGGTGGGCTGAAAGTGAAGGAAAACAGTTTAGACTGTTATCGTTTAGTACATGGCTACTAATATATATACTGGTTTAAAACTGCTACAGATAGTTTAAGTCACTGGCTTAAACTTAGCAATGCATCAGACTTCTGTTTGGTCAGACTTTGTCTCATCCTTTGTTAACCCTCTCGATTCCACTGTGGCTCTCGTAATTTGGAATTACGAGACAGTATGCTACTCTAATAAGAAACTAATTATACAGAGTACTATAGATAATTTTCTTTTTCTTTTTGATTATCTCCATATGTTTGTGTAAATAGCATATTTTCTCTGTGCGAGGCAGAGAAGTTATAGATAAATATCTGTAATTATTAATTTGGAAATGGGAGGGTTAAGAAAGATACAAAATACATGTAATCAGGCGAAAATGGTATCATGCATTTTACCATCGTGATTATAAATATTTTGTGTACATATACACATACATATATATTTCATATAGATTTTCCAGAGGAAATAGTAGGCTATCAGAAAGCCTATTTTTCTAAAAATATACTGAACTCAAAAGATATTGAGCACAGATTATATTAAGAAATATTATTCACAATTAAAAAAAGAAATTAGAATTTAATACATAAAAAGATAACTGCGTCGACTAAATTTAATTGCACAATGATTAAATTTTACTTAATTTAACTTATCCTTAATTAAATGTGTTATTTTTTGTTTTCGCACTGGGTCATTAACTTGGGTTTTCTCTACAATTTTCCATCTGTTAATAATTTCCTTTTTTAAATATGTAATTATAGAGCCAATGTGAAAACATAAAAAAAAAGATGGAAAATTGAATAAAAAATATATTGTCACAATTATAAATACTGCAGATAAATTCTTGCACTGAACAATTTCATGACTTGGTAACTCTTTAACTACCAATGTTCCTGTTAAATTAATGCGAATGGAGAGAACGTCAATTAATAAACAAATTACTCTGGACTGATTATACTTTGAAAAACTCATGTTTTAACATGAGTCATGATATTCAAGGATGCTGAATTAACAGTGTACTGAATTTTAAAGTTGCCTTTTTATAATCTATAAAGACAAAAAATGTGGCTTATCATGTTTCCTGTGATCTTCAAATGTCATCGTCATATATATCACAAATACCAAATTTATTTGGTATGTAACTAACTTGGTACTTGAATTGTTAAACGTTTGTTACATTCTAAATTCATAAAGCTACGTCCACGAGACTTTTCTTTAAAAATAACATTTCTTCTAACCTATTCTGCATTTTTTTCTTAATTTATATTGGTAACGTTAGAGGAAACAACGAGGAAACGTGGAAATTAATAGCGATTGAGGAATTTAAAGAACGAGCTATCTCGTTTTAATAGAAATACCCAATGTAATATAATTGTGAAATATACTACATTCTTTGCGTTGATTCATGCTTCGCGTTACTATTTATACAAGATGAGTCAAAAACTGAAGTACAAAAAAAGGATGTTCTTCCGTGTTAAAATATATTGAAACGATAAAGTAGATTTTATTGTACTCGTAATTGAAAATATTTCATGAAAATTCTAGTTTGATCATTTTCCTTGGTCGAGAAATAAAATTTCTAAAAGTTTTAATTGGGGAAAGTCGTTAAATGAGAGTTTAGAAAAATTATTAAGAAATTATTAAAATTGGAATAATAAAATACTTCACTATTTTTCACAGAATTCACTATTTTTCTCAATAAAGCTAAATTTAACGAGTTAGCTAATTAATTTTCAAAGAAATATCGAAATTGATTAAAATAAAATTCTAGCTAAGAAATTTCGTTTCTTAATCGAAAATTACGTTTCTTATAACTTAACGGATTTTTAAAGTATCACAATTTTTATACTACTCTGTATAAAAGCACTGAGATATGCCAGGCGTAATACGATTTTCCTGTTTCGATATACGATTAAGAATAACACATTCGATAGTACATGATACGAACACGAAATTAAGATTTTGCAATACTTGAAAATGATGAAATATCGGAAAAATGTACGGATACATTTTTTGTGTAATAAACCAATTTTTAATTTAAAGTAATTTCAATAAAATCCTTAATTACAAAAAATAATAATTTAATTATATTCTATTCAAGGGTAAAAAAGAATGTTACATATTTTAAAGAAAATTAGATTAATTTTCCGTAACTGAATCTTTTTCTACTTATTAAAGAAATAAATTATAATTGATTACAGTTTTTCATGCTAAGTAAATAGCTAACAGATAAAGACTATTATAGTCTGATTGGTGGTGATGCAATGGCATAATGATAAAACAATATAGTACACTGATAAATATATAAAATAAATATTCATGAATATCTACAATTTTCAAATTACATGACATTATAAGACAATAATGAATTGAAAAAGAAACTAATACCTGATTTAATGAAATTCCTCAAATTAAATAGGAATATTGAAACCAATATTCTGCAACTCATTCTCCTCACTGAACAGAAAAGAAGAAACACATTCTCCCTCCACAAAAAAGCAAATACGAATCTAATTAAACAAAGTAATCACGCCTTGATTTCACCGATGAACTTGCAGAAAAAAGAATAACGTTATTTGCTTTTCTTTCAAGATTTGATCACGGTATAATAATTTCATTCCATATACGTTCAAACCTCCCATCAACCACCATAAAATTTCACCAATGCCAACTATTAATATAACCATCGTGATTACACACCCTTCCAACAATTCTAATGAAAATCCATCTGACAATATGTATAAAAATAAATCAAGAGATCTGATTGAATTTTGTGATAAAATAAAGCTACATACAAGGAAACTACATTAACCCTTTGCACTCGAGAGACGCCTCTCAGTCGCCATTTAATCAAATTCTAAAGATGGATGTTAATTAACATATCAAATTTACAATTACAAATTAACAATGCGTGGAATATCGAGGTAAAATAATTCTACGTCTTAAATTGCATACGATTTCTTATTTATCGTTTTAAAAATATCGTTGAGCTTATGACTACAGAACTATATGGTCTTATGACATAGAACTATATGACTATAGAAAATCAGCGAATTATTTTCCTGTAACGAAAAAATCGTCGAGTGCAAAGGGTTAACCTAACGCCATGGTTCATATAGATATGAACACAATAGTACTGCCAATGCAGTGAAGTCAATGTCTACAAACTTCTGACAATAAAGTGTCCTTGAAATGCACGCTGATAGCATAAATAGCATCGAGTAGGATAAAAAAGAAAAGAATATCGAAGAACTGGCTGTATAATCGCACACGGAATAACGTTTGCCAATCGCTGGAGCCTGCAGCGTGTTACATAATGATCCACAGTCCACAGGTAAGAGAACGCGCACCTGTGTAGGCCTTTTCGATTCACGGCTTGTTGCGGAGCACCATTATTCCCGGATAAAGTTAATTTGCACGGAATCTTTGATCAGCAACTCGGCGACTCTTCAAAGGTTTCTTAAAAATTTGATACGGCTATGTTTCTCTGGCAATTCATCGTCCAAAATAAAAGTCTTTGGAATTGTACGAGCTGTTACGTCATCTTGCTAATCAGAGTATCAACGAGTGGTCGCTGAGGAAAGAGTAACATATAAAAATTGTTCAACGTGTAATCCTGAAAGTTGGATTTAAGCAATTTTCATAGAAATAGTCGGTGTAAGCTGACGGTATAAATGGCAAAAGTAGTTGTATAATTACCATAGGAATTTTAAGATTTTTTCGTGAAACGAGTTCTACCTGCGGTTATTTAAAAATTCAGCTGAATATTCAATCGTGATAAGCAAGTTTCCAAGCTGCGACCCCCAGAATGGCACATTTTTCGTGTACAAAGCGCAAAGTTGTTCAACCACATGATACACTTATCGTAAATCCAAGATAAACGTTTCGCACTGTTTAGCGTCCTCATAAAATAACAAAGCTTCTAGATTGTATTCTGTAAAAAATCTGAGGCGCTGAGTAACGAAATATTATTGAGTATTACGTTTGGACGTAATACTTAAGTATTATCAACGCTTTCTTATTACCGATACTAATAAAATATCCCAAAATTTAAATTATTCTGGTATTTTCGAAAAATAAAGATTCGACTAAATTTAAAAATAAAAAAAATTGAAATATTTTAAGAAGAACGTGTTGTAAATAAAAATTTGTTTTTCCTTGACACGGAAAGTTTCTCTTCTCTGTCATTTATTTCAAATTCACGTGTAACAAGCATATGAACTTTGCTTTTAATTTGAGTTAAATAATAAGCACAAGTTTCAATTTCTTCCTTTATCGATGTTCTACATCATGTGGCAATTAATCATTTCGATTAAATTACTAACAAGAGGTCTGTTGTAACTCGAATAAGTTGAATAATTAATTACTCGTAGATTTCTTATGTAATTTCCTGAAATGGGGTATAATTAATTATCCTTCACCAATGACTACAAATTTATCATTCTGAATTGTCACTTTCAAATTCAAATGATTCGAATCTTTAAAGCACGAAAATAGAATTTAATTGGAATTACGTAAAAGTATTTTCATGTAATGAGTGTTAGATAAAATATAAAATAAAATCGAAACATTTAATAGGGTTAAAAATAAACAAACCTCATATCCTTTTAAAAATTGTAACTTATAAAATAGTTATCTTAATGTAAATTCAAAAAATTTTTTTTATTTATTATCAATTTTAAACTCACTAACAATATTTACAGTAAGACCTTGATTCTTATAAAATTTGCGAATCCTCTATCATGCTTTAATCGTAAATTAAATGATACATTTATACAAACAAAATTTACATTTTATTATCTTTAGCCCTAGATCATTGATATTTAGAAATCCTTGGAAACCAACTATTAATTTTTTAATAAAAGTGACCTCATATTTTGTTTCCAATTTGAAAAGACTCTTCGATTAAAAGTCAATCGAACGAGAAATTTTCCACGAGTAAATAAATACATAGAGAACATAAAGAATAAAAATAATTAAGGAACAAAATTTTCCAAAAATATATATTCATAAACCACAGTGAATGAAACGCGTATTACCGAAAAGCTTCAAAATATTTCTGTATTTGAAATATAATAATGCACGTCGATAAAGTGGAACATTAACGTCGTTCATCCCATAAAAGAATGCGTGCAAAGTAATCGGAATAAGAATAGCGCGTGCGACACTCGTGATTCATCTTATTCTCGTCTCGTGCGCACGCTTCTATCAACGGGTTAATGAGAATCAAAGAGAAAACATAGTTTCGCGTGGAAGTTTTGATCAAAGATGAGGAAAACATGTAGGGATATCGCGAATCAATTGACCTCGAGGTCAATCTGCTTCTCTTTTCGAAAAAAGAATAGAAAATCATTCGTCTGGCTGATATATGCTATTCGAGTGGGAACTAAAATGATCCTAACAACGGTAATCCTACGCCTAACGAAACCAGCTAAACCAGCTACTCCTCAAGCAAGAAGAATTTATTCAGAATTCCGTAACTCCAGTCGTATCGTTCTATCTTATAAGAGATTCGGTCGAATCAAGATTTCGTCCACCAAGTCTATCCAGTTGGAAAGCGCGAATCTCTACTAACGAAGCTTGCTCTTTGTTATAGTAACGAAGATTACAGCGTACAAGCAGTGATTACACGTTTGTGGAGAAGTTTATGTCTTTGGAACTAATAACCGAGGGCAGTAGCACACTTGGCAAGGCCGCGAAACGATAAAGATGACTAGCCTTTGGGATAAAGTGAACGGGTGGACGGTTTTCTTGTTTCCTTAAATGGTGTCTACGTAATGAGTCATCAGCCGCGTTATTTTCATGCAATTGACGTAACATGCTCGCGGTTGGAGCCGTTAACAAAACCAGCCCCGACGTACCCGCCTCCTCCAGCACAATGCACACACGAGTGCTCTCCTTCTCTTGCTCTTTTATCACACCTGCGAAACGACTGATAAGCGGCTAATCTGCTCTTCTCGGGAACAGTCGACGTCTTCTCGTTTCACAGCGCCGCTGTTTGCTTTGCGAAACGCACTTAAATGGCAGCGTCATCGGTATATCTGCTTCAGAGCCTGAAGATAACTCAGACTCGCGAGAAGCTAATACCTTTTCGGAGAACAAGCGTAAGTTCTGCACGATATATTCGAGCTGAGACGATTATGCCGTAGGTGATGGTTGAATCGCGTGGGCTGGCTACGTAGGAAAATTTCGAACCGGTGCTCCGCAACCTGATGAGGGAATAAGAGATTCGTTTAGAAAGTTGAAGATCAGTTGGTATCAGCGGAAAAATCGTGCTCATTTAGCTGCTAGAATTATCACCGTTCCTTTTTGCTCCTCAACATTGTTAAAATCGCCTCTCCGTGAAATGAGATCTCCAGTGTTATAAAACAGGCAAACAGAAAAATAAAATAATTGAACAGTTAACCATCGAAATGCTGAGTGAAATAATTAAACGTGGTAAAGAACGTCAACTTCTTTTACAGATTGGATTGCTTATGATTGGTGAAAATAATATGAAATTGGTTTTTGATCATTGCTTCTGGCGTGATACCTTGTAACAGAAAGACTGTATAGGTATACATCACATTCTAAGTGGTAATATCTTCTTTCCTTTTCTGTAACTTCGTTATCGAATTCCACTGAACGAATGCAAAGAACTGAGAATACACTCGTTCCTGATCATCAATGTGTATCTGTTATGCTACATTGTATCATTTCAATATCTGATTCTGTTACACGGCAAACTGTGCACTTCGAGCATCTCTGGCTATAGTATATTTTACTCGAGAGATTACAAAATTTGAGTACGAAGTGTGTTGAATTGATTATAAAAAAAGAATCGCTTGTCCAATTTCAAAATTACCAACTTTCTCACAATTTGGAGAATTTTGAAAGATTATAAGGATTAGAGGCGAATTTTTGTAGCAATGCAACTGCTTTTAGAAAAGCGTGATAATCATCCATGTTTGCCCAATTTAACAAGAAGAACCAGTTCCTTATTTGCATAACAGTCTCTCCTATTCACTGCTGGGATAACAGTATACCTTAACAGAATTACTTATACAAATTTCTTGGGTCTTCGTTCCATGTTCCTTTATCGCTATTTTTTCCCTTTAAGTTAAAAATGAACATATGACGAGGTCCTATACTTGTCTTAGCATTTCTCAAACCTTTGAAGAGGCAAACCTTTTCATAAATTCGTCTGTATTTTACATTTATCTTACACTCTAATCCACTTTGTCTTCAGCCAATCCCTTTTAACTGTATTCTTTAACAGAGATTGAATTTTCATCACTGAGGATTTTTTCTAAAGTAATTATCTATGAGACTATATTGTTTTACTTAAAGATCATGTTCTTCTTATAATCTTCTGTAAAATAAACGTTTTAAAGAGACGAATTAACTCCGGGAACAATTAAAAAGCTCGTGGTTTGTGTTCTACGTCTTATATAACTCAGACTAACCGCAATGAGTTGTTAACAGCACAAGCAAGGTTCTATAATCTACAAATTATGACAAGAAAGAAATAATAACGATAGTGACAATAAGAATAATTAATATTTGAGAAATTATCTCCTATCGTTATCGCACTGCCTCGCGACAAGCACTATTTTTAGACATACCATGTATATCTCGCGATACTTATTCGTAGGACATGAAATAATGTTGAGCGAAGAAAAGACACTGTAACGGTATCTTCGTCGACGTAGCTAAACGGTCCATCATCAAAGAGGTTTGAGAAACGCTGACCTATTTGCCTTTCCTACCGTCTCTCTCCATCAGAACCCTTGCTTCATTTTCACACCAAAGAATCTCGGAACGTGAGAAAACCAAGTCCCTCTTCCCGTCTCTTACCAGGTCATCCTCAAACTCGTCGTCGTCCGTGTCCGAGTCCGAGCGACCTCTCAGCTTTCGAACTTTCTTTTTCACCTCTTTCTTCACCACCCTCGTTATCGTGCTTTCCGGCTGCGTGCAATCGTTCATAGGTCGTTAAAGAAAAAGTCTATGAAACGTTAACAACCAATCCAACCGGACACTAGCTGGCTCCTTACTGGGATATCGCCTAGCGGTTTGATAAGTCAGCGATACATTCGTCGTTGGTCCTTTTAATACCCGTCAATGAGCCTGCCAGAAATAACTCGAGTCGACAGACAAGCTTTATTTAAATATAAGCTTGTTACATTCCATGTTCAGAAGAATATTCGTGTCTCTGGTAAACCATAAGGATGAATGAGAAGTTATGTTGTGCAAGAATAGATACTGCACAGAGCTCTTGACTACTTCAGCTTCTTTTACAGTTAGCTGCTGAATCACTGAGTCGAAAAATATGTTCGTTTAATGAAGATTTCATGAATGAACGCTGTAGGTCATCAGTGATCCACGTGATATGTCGTATTTTCAATTTGCTAGAAAGAAACTTGTAACTTTGCTTAGAAGTTACTGTGAGAATTAATATAAGAAATGTATTAACCCTTTGCGCTTGACGATTTTTTGGCTAAAGAAGCGTACGAGTTGAAAAATTTTCTGCTATAAGGCTGATGGTATTTTTTGAGCACTAAATAAGAAATCGTATAATAATTAACCCTTTGTGGTCGAAGTCCCCGCAGCGGGGACAAGTCGAAAAATATAGAAAACTACAGAAAATTAGAGAAATTAAAAATTTTGTATATTTACGTATTATAAGTGGTATTAAACACAAATCAGTTTCGACAAATTCTGTGCGTTTTAATATCCATATATTGACTTTAAATCCTGTACAGAAAAATAACTGCGAAACGCTAAATTTGCTTTGCTGAAATCTGCCGACAGGAAAAGGGCTAACACGTAGAATTATTTAATTTCGATACCTCGCACACGGTTCATTATTTTAAATTTGATATATTAATTAATATCGAGCTTCGAAATTTTATCAAATGGCGATTGAAGGGTGCCTCTCGAGTGCAAAGGGTTAAAGAAGGTTTAAATATTTGTACTTGGATCCATTTTAATACTATTTTAACTAAACCATGTGGGTTACCAAAGACCCATGTAGCAAATAAAACTTTGAATATATTGGAAAAAAATTTGTAAAAATTTGTAATTTTGTTTACATGTTTAGATTGTTCAAACTAGAGCCAATGGTAACTCTATTTTTAAAATCTTTCAAATCGTTTATTTTTATAATTCTCTGTTTAACAAATATTTACTGATTTTTTAGTGATCAAATGTTTTGTTATATCTAATACATGCAATGTAAAAATAAAAGAAATTTTTAGTGATTCTGTTCCTTATCTTCATTTAGAGATATATTTAATCGAGTTATTTCTGGCATGTCTTATAAATAAAAATTCAGGTATTAGGAGGAATAAATTCAGATAATCTTGTTTATGAGATATACAATTCTTTTCAAAATACCTAATTAAGAAAAGAATTAAATAATAATTGTTCAAATGTTGCTCGGAAGAATTTTTAACACCCAGAGAACCGATTTCGCGTCTTCCTCTGATACAGAGGATTTTCCTCACACGTGCAGATTAAATCTTGAGATTTTTCATGCCCATTATATAAAACTAGCTATAATACATCAATGATATTTCATATACACTATTAGATAAAGTTATTTAATTAATAAATCGACACTCCTGACTTTCAAAAATAATTAAATGAATTAAACTCTGTTTTATGAATTACGAGCTGCATATAATTTAAATAAATCTTGGAATTTTAGTATTTTTAAATAATACAACTTATGTAATAAATTACCGGGTGCTAAACTGATTACATTATATAACAAAGTAAACATTCATTTAGTATATTTGTAAGAAATAATTGGACAAAGGTAAAGAGAATAATTCAGAATTACACATGTAAATTTACCTGGTTATTGAAATTCATATTTATATAATTCATATTATATAATAAAATAAAAAGAGGCAAGAAGAAGATATTCATTAAATTCTTAAAAATGTACAAAATAACTAAATTCTCCTCCCTTATTTCTGAAAATACATTTGTGTACAACTATTATTACAATGTAGGACTATCATAAGTATAAACCATTTATTAGTTTATTACTAGGGCAAACAAAAACTTAAAATAAAATCTAAAAATATATTAAAATTGAATGAAATAGAATTGAATATCGCATAAAATATATTATAAATAAAGGCTGATCTCACGATACATTATCTCTTTATCAAAGTCTGTATCTCATATTATTACATTCAACCTAACTTCAACCAAAAAGAGATACTTTTTGATCATATATGTATTGAATTTCATTCCTTTTCATTCCTTCTCATACTTTCTATTAATAATTTACACGTATATAATTATAATACAAAAATTACATGCATTAATATTATATCCCAAAATATAATAATATCAATTAAAAAAATTTTCGAGGGACTTAAAATACACTAACTTTACAATAAAAAGAAAGACAAATCAGATCCTTTAGGTGTTAAGAAATTAAAATTTCTGTAATCTTCATAAAAGAAAAAATTTTCATGCAATAAATGTCATAACTTCCCAGAAAATAATTTTCAAAGAAAAGAGAATTTAATAATAACAAAGAAAAAGTTCAAAGAAGAATTTAAACACTGTTCATTTTATATATCTGAATATTTTAAATTGAATTTTTAAAAGATATTTATTGATTCAAAAAATGTATCACTCTTTTCCTTTTCTAAGCGATAAAAGTAACGAAGTATATACAATCTATTTTACTATAACTTTTACAAATCCAACTAAGAATAGCAATGCAATCTTACTTCCATTCTATTTACTATTTATGTTAATGCATATACTATAATCAATATACTTATTGTTATCTGTAATTACAGATAACGTAATCACGTTATCTAATATTCACCTTTGCCAGGACAGTGAACAAATAAATAAAAGCAGAAAAATATCTTCTATAAAAATTGCTATCATAATTAAAATCTATAATGTTTAACAATTACTTATCATTTCTAATTAACTGTACCATACTATCTGTACCAAATATGAACAACTAGAGGTTCCTTTAAAACACTACACTATAAAACCTATTTTACAATTTAGATTGGATCTTAAAATTCACAAGGAAGTAATTACGTAACAATTAAAAATTGGAAAGTTGAGTTTGAAGGTCTCATCATGTTCTCCTACTTAGTCTACACATTGGTCAAATAATTTTTCGATTTACTTAACTAAAATATTGATAAATATATAATATTCTAAACTACAATTTAAAAGGACATTAAACTTATCCTTGACACAGTAATGATATTGAAATAACGTATTCTTTTTTTGGAAAATAAAACACGCGTGCGATTACATATAATTGATCTCATCCACAATTAAGTTTATATATAATACACAGGAAGAATGGAGGATATCCTTCAGATAAGAAATTCCGAGAAACATATTTCAAACGTTAAATAAGTTCGCATAGAGAATGCAATATGAACGGTTTTTCCAATCTCAGTCGCTCCCCAGATCATTATCTATTCCAATACTGTGTACAGTTGAGTTGAATTTCACCTGGCAATCACATGTTGTCCCGACTTCCACGCATTACACGTTTTCCCAATGGAAAATATGCAGCGCGGTTTGTTCTAGGAATGAGAACAAGGAAAAAAAGAAAAACGATACGAAATGCTGTGATTACCTAAAATTGGTCACGTTCAGTCGATTCGCAGAAATGTTGAAACTCGTGAAAGAAAAGACGACAAGGAGACAATAAAGGTATACAGGAGCGCGACTGTGTCAAGGTGAAGGCGCGTCTACGCATCAACCGCTCGGTGAAAGCAAATGGAACATCCACTTGGTCGTAACTGTACTTCGAATCACGAATCGGAAGCCCGGACACTAAAGTCCGTTTGAAAAAACTGAAATATAGTATAGAATGTAATGCTTTTAGATATATTCGAAATTTATATGATAATAAAAAATTATTCAAACTTTCATAATTATATTCTCTATTATATTTGCTACTTTAACTAATTATCTAATTTAACTAATTTTTCAAATAATTACCAAAATGAAAATCCTTTTACACTTATTTTAGTTATTTTAATCATAACTTACGATGGAATTATGTAAATTGTATCTGTGTCGATTTTGGATTCGATGATCGTAGCTAGTTTGGTTAATTTATAGGTTATGTACCAAGAATTAAATTTATCTATAAATATAATGCAAAATTTGTAAGAAATGTCAATGTATACGATTAAATAATTCTGAACGATACTACGATAAGTAGAAGTTGTCTTTTCTCTGTTTCAACAAAAAATAAAATGACGGTTGAATGACGCTGTAAGATAAGGATCAGGCGTGAAGTTGAACGCATAGTCGAACGTAGCAACCTACGAAAGTCGATGACATCAGCATCCGCCGTCACATCTCTCCCTAGGTCACTTTTTTATCGAATTGACGTAAACGTCTGAATTCAATCAGTATCAGTCACACGTTCCTTCAGCTAACATAAACATTTATTACACGTCATAAGCAAACAGTTGAAAATAAAAATTTGTATAGAAGCATAAAAATATATTTAACTGAAATATCTATTATACTTTAAAACTTTATAATTTATTTGTATGACATGTACATAATAATACGAATAACTCCTAATTCGTAGAAATGATTAAATTATTTTATACAACCATTGTACTGAGTAATCAATTGTACATATATTATTTATATATAATATTTGTTTCACGTGTCTTACGAAAACTTATCCCGTGAAAGCAATAATTCATCGCTTCTAAATTATAATAAATAACGGTCTATAAACCACTGGTGTATTATCTATACAAAGCAATGAATACTTAGCAATTATTAAATATGGAGCGCGTTTCACACTGAAGCAACTACAAAAGCTCTTATATATTTACAGGTATAGCTTAATTTCACACACAAAAGAGAACCATCGTAAACAATTAATAGAATTATATAATAGTTAGTGCAATAAATAACCAGTCATCCTACCTTCTTGTACAATTTTATCCATGTCAGATCACCCTTATTGTCGGTGTACTGAAGTCCGAAAAACCACACCTCACGCAGCCCGATCGTTTTCACAACCTGGTCAAACAGTTGCTTCCCAGTAGTCGTATGCTGGATCGCGAACTCCAGTTCGGCGTCCATCGTCGTCACCCTAACATTCATCTTTACAAACAAAGAAAAAAGCGAGTCAGAGATATAAAGTATATTAAGATAAACGACGTCACCCGGTAGACAGAAGGACGCCACTTCTAACCCTTTTTATACGTATATAATATCAAACTTTTTCCTTCAAAAGGTAGAAATAATTGCCAAACACACTACCTATTACGATTTTAACCGATTCCTTTTAAGATATTACCGGAAAAAAACGTAGAGAAATCAGAACAGTACAAACGCTTACCATTTTAGCACCGGCAACCATGGCTGCGACGATACGAGAACGTAAATGCGAATTCAAATGAGATCGAAACGTAAACCGTTGGAACGAATTAGTATCAAAGTGTTAGATTCGACGTATCTACGTATTGCAAACCCGAACACGAATAATATTAACGCTGCACTGTAAATTTAAGGAAGTACTGTTCAGACCAGAAGAACACAATATCACAAGATTTATCCGTACGACCGTCGGCTTATACCGGTCTCAAGTCATACAACGAGCTAAGGGGCAAGTGCAGCCGGCAGCGTCTTTCCCCCCACCATTCTCTTCTATAAGCATTGCATCGTTGTCCTTCTCTTTTCGAATCATAGGTAGACCTCGTAAGAGGAAGAGAGAAGAATGAAAGTGATCACGTGAGGAAGCCGGTACGTATAGCCATAGCCAATCAGCGTTTAGTTAAAATACCGGGTGTGCAGAAGGGAGTAATTTTTCGAGAACGCTTCACGTTCACCGACACGATCGACGTTCTTCAAAATTATAAAACGTTATAAATTAATTATATTATTAACTACTGTGTAATAGTAGATATATTACTAATACGTGTTTCAATTATTTTTTCTCATATAATAATTACAAAAAAATTACTGATTATATGGTGAAATGAATTATTTCTTCGTTTGAAAATACTACCATAATGGACATATCGAATATTCGTCAACGGAATTTAACAAGTAAGTACAAACGACATTAAATTTTTGTTTTACATTCCATTACACCTTTTTTATGTTCCATATAATTTAATTTTTTGTTGTAATAATACGACAAACAATTCGTCGTATAATAAATTATACAAAATTTATCATGTAACTTAAACTTTGTTATTACTTTATTTGTTACACGTAATAAAGGGTAACAAGTTTCGTAAAATATTTCTGTATTATATATAAGTTAAATACGTTCATTATTATGAACTTTCAATAATACATAGTTTCTTATAACCATAAATTCTATATTATTACAGTACATATTTTTGACCATATATAATTTAAAGTGAAATTAATTTTAAATATTTTATCGTTAGTACATATACGTACTGTTTTCGGCATTTTGGCAGCTTCGTCTTTTCGTGTCAAACAGCGAAAATATCAATCTGTAACGAAAATTAAATGTAATTAATAAAGCTTACATTACCAATAAATTTTATTAATAATATTAAAATTGATTATCATTAAAAAAAAGTTTTCTTTTATAAAGTACCGTAAAATATTTAACGCTATTATACTTAGAAAACATCATAAATGTTACAACTTTTCAAACAGTACTTTTAAAATTCAAAAAAATTACAAATCAGTACTTTTTAAACAATACGTTACAGAACTTTATAAAATATTGTATATAAAAGTAACTAGCATTCATCATTAATAATCAAAGATGGTAATATCATTACTAATTAGTATCAGCTTCTAAGGATGAATAAATTTGAAATTGCTGCAGTATCATTGTTTAAAAAAAAAAAAGATGTAGCACGTCCACAATCGAGAACTGCATACAAGTCTCCATATTGGAAGAAGAGACAGGTTATAATGTAAATCCGCGTGACCGACATCCGCTCACAGCAAGGAGTGCCTGCGCACTGTGTCTAGCATTCCCATTTTATCTAGGACCATTACGTCCGTTGAACCGTTGATATCTCCTAACTTTTTGTCAGTGTCGGTAAAAAAGCTCTGCGCGACGTATCCGTTCAACTTTTCACGAAGCATGGAGATAGAAAGTATCTATTAATAAAGTCTCCATTTCCGACTACTGCGTCCGAAGTCCAAAATACTCGTCACAAAATCTCTGTTTATGTGAATGGTTAAAGCACATTTCGCGGTTACTGCGTCAACTTTAATCTTTTATTTTTATTTTAACTGTAATTCTAGGAAAAGAACTCTTGGATATATACGATATATTTTCAACGTGAAATGTTCGTATTAGTGAAGAAAAACGAACTAAGAAAAAATGTAAATACACAAGGTGTCATACGTTAGAAATTTCCACATGACGAAAGGAATGAACGAGAGGAATGTCATGATGAAAAAGGATTCATGTTTCGAAATCTCTTTCAAGGTCACTCATTGACGCGAAATACCATTTCAACAGTAATTTATACATCGGTTATACACCTTTATTTCATAAACATTACATGCTTTGCCATAATTTACGTAAAATCAAATAAATTACGTTTATATGCATGTTAATATAATACATGTACTAAGCCAATTTTTGAATATACTAATTACTGAAATGAACTAATAAAAAAAAAAAACCAATAATCATTGAAAAGGACGAAAAAACTTTTGTTATGTACTCTAGTATTTAGCGTAAAGTATTATAGCTAATTGCTGAGGTTAGCTAGAAATGCGTAGGATTAACAGAAATGTAAGTTTGTATCTTGTTTCTGTCGTCTCGTTTTACTTTAAAGGAAAAAACGATTGCTAAACAGTTCACGAGAGACGGATATTTCACATTACAATTATAGAAGCAGTCATGTATAGATAGTCGTTACATTAAATTATTCGAACGCTTTATTCGATATAATGATTAATTATTTATCCACATTTACAGAATCTTTATTTTCATTGATGTGTTTACTGCATGGTCCTTCGTACGAAAAAAAGGTTGGGATGTAGCATGTCACCTTCAATGAATAAAATTATAAGGCAAATATGTTTATAAATCTATTGCATGGATATAATATGTAAAATCAGTGTCAGCCGAAAGAAAAATTATTCGTATCACAAATTATTCATGGGTGTTGTGAGATCATTTCATAGTTTAAAGAAATAATCTTTACGTAGGTTAGTAAGCAAAAAGTTAGTACTCAAGAGAAAAATAAGAAAGCAAACATTTATACCATCATAAAAACGTTAAACAATATTGAAACGTATGATATTTTAAACATAGTTAAAAAACAATTCGTTCTAAAATTTATATAAAATGTGTACTGCTTAATACTGAATTACAATTCAATATGTAGAACTTACATTATTGTGTTTATAAGATATAAATTCTATGACACATGTGCCACACATTCACAGTAGACCGGTGGCACTTGCACTTGCACTATACCCGCTAGAGAAAACGGCAGGAAATTGTATCATCCACACCCAAAAATCCCGTCACGTTCGGACAATACTGACACCTCACTGATAATATGGCTGCCGCCTGCCCACCCGCTCGCTCAATTTTCTTAAAGGGAAGGGATAAATCATGAACTATGTATGTGAGATAGATGAAATAGTTCACTACAAAATAGTAATTTACTATTAAACATTAGTTAACGAATATATTAAATTTTTCCCCTAAACTTCATAATCGATGATATTTACATTTTTATTTTTCGATAAATTACTTTTGGTTCGATAGATTATAAGTCTGAATTAGAATACTTTTATTAAAATCTAGTAGATTATAAAATAGTATATGTACCTTTAATCTGTAAAATTAAATCGCAACGTTGTATAAATATTATAAAGTTTATGTTGTATTGATAAATTTTATACTAATTTACTATTTGTATTTATATTAATATCTATAAAAAGTTATTTCAATGTGAAAAATTGTAACTAAATGTATAATTATTTTTTGTATGTATAGAAAAAAAATATAAAATTATACCAAATAGTTGTTATTTTCAAATATATAAAAGACTTACATATTTTTATTTAGAAATTTCTATTTTTCGCTCATTATTAATCTTTTTATGTATGGAACAGGTATTTTTGTATCAATTTAATTATTATTTTGTAGATTTGATGTTTCATTTTAACACTATATGTTAAATTTTGTCGTTCTTAAGATTGTGATCTTATGGTAATTAATGTTAGGAACGATAAAAGACTTTTTATATTTGTAACTAATTTGAAATATGCGTTAAGAAGATTTTGGCTTTTGTAATATTTATATTAAGTACTTTAATATTGTATTCACAAGAAATGTAAGTAATGCAAAAATTATGGTAGTAATGTGTATTTTACTGTGAAAATAAATTTTTATTAACTTACAAGTGAAACTTGCCGCATTTCGTTTTCAGGTTTATTTCTTCATTCTTAATTTGTTATTTTTTGATTCATTAAATATTATCTTATTTTAAACCCAAATTTCTTTCGGTTCTCTTAACCTAACTTGATTAAATTTTGCTCATAATAGGATAAATAGGTATAACAAATATTCACTAAAATATATTGTATTCAATAGAATAATATTTGCACAATCATCATCAATGTAATTTAATTCTTTTTTCAAATTTTATTATTGGTAAGAAATTAAAATATTTATTTAAATTAAATTGTATATATAACTCAATTTTATTTTTTTCTTTATTAAATATTAGAGCATAATATTAAATAATCATATAATGTATGCTTTTTTTAAGGAAATGCAGTGATACATTAAAACAATATTTTTATTTTTAAAGTAATATTATATTATAAAATTTTAAATATATGAGAATGATAAAGAATATTATTTTTAGGACATACCACATGTTTCTCATAAATAGCATGTTCTATTCACACTTCTGATGCTTTCAATATCAAAGAAATAGAAAAATATGGTTAGTTACTGATACTTGTTTTCATCCAAAAGTTATAAAGGTTAATTATTAGTTATTACTTCAAAATATTACACAATTACTATATAATACTATATAATACTACTATATTATGCAGTAATATTATACATATAATATTACTGTATAAGACTACAGAAGTATGTATATGTAAGCATGTATATCATTTTCTTCAAATCTATCAAGCGTCATCTATTTATTTTAAAATTAACTATTATATTTATAAATATATAGTCAAACAAAATAATATAACATAGCATGCAATGTTTATAAGTTAACCTTTGTTTTATGTTAGATACAAAGTAATTGAATAATAATTATAGATTCATTTAGTTTTAATTTATTTATTGGTTACATTTACAGTGTATCTTTTTAGTGTACTATAATAAAGTTTTCAATAATTATAATATGAAAAAATCAGTTTGATAGAAAATGAAAGTAAACTGAATGAATTTATTATATTGTCATTTTTAGATTTAATATATTTTAAGTGTCAAAGAAGATATATGTAAATAATTAAATATATTATTGTTTTTATTGATTTTCATACTATATAAAAATACAGATATTAAATATAAAGAAAATAACTATTATATGATATTTTTTTAGGCAAACTGGAACAAAAAGCAACGTTTGACCTATGAGTCAGCAGCAGTGGAATATCCTTTAATTATAAAAAACATGTTTGGTTGGGGTAGTACTATACATGGGGAATTAGGTTTAGGTGGTATAGAGAATGAAAATATTTTAATTCCTCGTGAACTTGATTTTAAAAAAGCTTCTGAAATTCAACAAAGTAAGCTTACTTATAAAGTCACATATTTATATAAGTTTTTATATAATTGTTTATATCTTTAAATAATTTTTATGTAGTTGCATGTGGTGAAAATCATACAATAGTTGTTACTCAAGATGGAGGAATATATTCATGTGGAAACAATGACTTTGGACAACTTGGTCATGAAAAAGGGAGAAAAAGATTACGTAAGTATATAAGTAAAAAATGTGAAACATTAAATTAAGTTTAGGTTAAACCATATGCCTAATTTTAAATATTTAATGTCTAGAATTGATACCTGGATTAGATGCATTTGTATTCAAAAAAGTAGCTTGTGGAGCATTCTATTCTTTAGCAGTGAATGAGTGGGGTCAATTGTTTAGTTGGGGATCTAATATAGAAGGCCAACTAGGTAATACTATGTAGTAATAATAAATTACTAATACTAAGCATCATATTTAAAAGTTTCTAATCAGTACTTTTTATGTTTATACTCCAATTTTATTATAGGTTTAAATTCTAAAAATGTCATGGAATGTTCACCACATATGATAAAAACATTAGGTACAAGTGTAGTGGTACAAATAGCTTGTGGCATGAAACATGCACTTGCATTAACAAATAATGGTGAATTGTACAGTTGGGGTTCTAATACTGAAGGACAACTTGGTTTAGGTACTCATGTCAAATATGAGGTAAAACCTAAACTTATTATCACCTTGATTGGTATTCCAATTGCATTTATTGCCTGTGGAGGATACCATAGCATAGCTATATCAAAGTCAGGTAAAATAAGGCAAGATATACAAGAAACTTTTTATTTATTTTATTTTTATAACAATAAAAATGATTAAATTTTTCTACAGGAGCTGTATTTGGGTGGGGAAAAAATACATTTGGTCAATTAGGACTAAATGATACACAAGATAGAAATTTACCATGTTTGTTACAAACATTACAAAATGCAAAAATATGTTATGGATCTTGTGGTGAAAAATTTTCTGTATTTTTAACAGCGGTAAGAATTATAAATACTTTTAGGATAAATAATTTTATAAGTAATATATAAAATTTATGGTAGGATGGTGGAGTATTTTCATGTGGTGCAGGAATGTATGGTCAATTAGGACATGGAAATAATAGTAATGAAATTTTGCCTCGTCAAATAATGGAACTTATGGGTAGCACAGTTACACAGGTATACTATAAAAAGAAGAGTTTTAATGTATCATAAGTATATTAATATGTTTATATTATATTAAATACTTTGTTTTAAGATTGCATGTGGCAAAGGACATACCTTGGCATTAGTATCAACAAGAGGTAAAGTTTATGCATGGGGTTCAGGTGGTGTGGGACAATTAGGTAATCATTCCACTCAAAGTGCAGCAACTCCACAAATGGTACATGGTCCATGGGTTGCTCCAAATGGTTCTTCAATAATGAACCTTGATAAACATGCAGCTGGTTATATTGTTAAACATATCTTTGCTGGTGGAGATCACTGTTTTGTCACAGTAGTTCCACAGGGTGTAGGTATTTTTTACCAGTATGATGTTTATTTAAGTATATGTGTAGAAATAGAAAAAATAAAATTATGTAATTTAGAAATAAAACTAGTAATAAAATACATATGTTAATTATTGATAGTAATAGTATAGTAAATTCGAATCATATAGTGTGCACTAATATCAGTCGAGCATATCAACATAAATGTTTTGACTTCAAAAACAGTTATGAGACATTTAATGGAAAATAAGGTGCTCAAGAGCCAATTAGTGACAATTTAGTATGAATTTTTCCATAGCTAACAATGGCCTATAAGAAATTCTTTCAAAAAAATTTCCGGCATCATTTAAAACCACCGCTTAATACAATAATTTTTACTTATATTTATGAATATATATGTTATATATTTAATTTTTTTTTAGGATAATATAAAACCAGATGATTGTAGAATATTAGATAGCTCCTCCCAAATTCTTACAATAACTGAAGAACAATTAATAACGTGTCAACAAGTTCCACCAAACTCACCCATTGATCATGAACTTATGATGTGAGTAGGAAAGTTAGTACTTAAGGCTGTTCTAGATGTATGTAATACAACGAATTTTTTATTGTTTATTTGAACTTTTCTTTTTGTTAGATAACACTATAAAGTCATGTGTTTGCCTTTTTTATATATAATTAGTAACATAGTTTTAAAAATTTTATAAATTAATAAATTATAGATATTTAGAGACAGTATTTAAAAGTTTGACCTGCGTGACTGGGTCATTTTTACTTAAAAATGATGCTCGCTATGGATGTTCAAATAAGCATCATGGAGTGGATCTTGACCAAGCAAGTAGATCATTTGGAATTATCAGAGAACTGGATAACGATAGAATTCAAGAATTGGTATATGAAAAAAATCAATTTTACAGAACTTAAATATTACTATACTTGAAATTACAACAAATTTATTATTCTTTTTTCAGATATTTAGTTGTATATCAGACAGCCTGATTCCTTCTTTTGTTAATTTATCATCTACAATAATTAGTCCAGAATCTTTAAGAATCTATTTAATATTACCTTTGTATCATGGTTTTGCAAATCCTCCTAATTGTAATGTATTGCATAAACCATTCTGCAAAGCTGTTTTAGCATTAAAACCAGAGGTTCTTGAAATTGTTACAAACTGGTGGCTTACAGCACCATCTTATTATTTTGAGAGATTAGTCAGAGTCCATAAATCAGTCGTTCTACATTATGTAAAGCAGTCTAAACCAAATAAGGTATTAATCATAAATTATTAATTTTATTACTAAAAAGTTTTAAAAATACGTTTATAATTTTCTATATTTTAAATATCTTTGTAGGATGTGTTATGGGATGAGACATTACAAGTTGTTTTAGATTTTTTATATTTGTTAAATAAATTGAACAATGAAAGTGGTGATGGCAATAAAATACATTATTCTACATTTCATCTGCCAGAATTAGTAGATCTTATAGACATAGAAAATGATTATATAGAGTGGATATCAGAAAAAGAATCTTTTTCTGTATGTTATGCTTATACATTCTCGATTTATTAAAAATTCATTCACTGAATATTTATTTAGGTTTTTTAATATAATTAAAATTTTTCAGTATCAAAAAGTGTTCTGTAACTACCCTTTTATACTTGATGCAAATGCTAAAATTATACTACTGCAAACAGATCAAGTTATTCAGGTAAAATAGGGATTTGTATTAAGTATAAGTTTACATTTTTTGATATATTTATCTATATCTATTAGATGCATTCAGCAATGAACAAGGCAGCAGCTCGAGCTGTAATAAACCAATTGTTTTACAATCCATTTTCTGTAAACCCGCAAGGTTATAATCAGTTTGTAGTGATAAACGTTTCACGGAATAATATAGTCGCTGATACTTTACGTGAAATATCACAATATGATTCTACAGATTTAAAAAAGCCTCTTCGAGTGAGTATTATAATTTTAATGTAAATAATTTACTTATAAAACACAATTAATGAAATTGTTCTATAAAGGTGAAATTTCACAATGAAGAAGCAGAAGATGCAGGTGGAGTTAAAAAAGAATTTTTTATGTTACTGTTAAAAGAAATTTTAGACCCTAAATATGGTATGTTTAAACAATATGAAGAAACTAGAGTTATATGGTTCAGTGAAGATTCATTTGAGGATGAAAATGTGTATTTTTTAATCGGTGTCTTGTGTGGATTAGTTATTTATAATTTTATTATTATCGATTTACCATTCCCACTAGCTTTATATAAAAAATTATTACATGAACCAGTTGGTTTAATTGACATTAAAGACATGTCACCAATATTTGCTAAGTAAGTTGCATTACCATTTACATCTCATTTTTTCTATTAATTCAAAATGGATTTTCATGAAAAACAATATAATGCTTGATATTATTAATTAATATGCTCAATATTAATGCTTTAGGAGTATGCAAAATATACTTGATTATGAAGAAGCAGATTTTGAAGAAATTTTTTGTTTATATTTTGAAGTAGTCAGAGAAGTGTTTGGTGAGAAAAAAATACACGAACTTATACCAGGTGGTAGTAAAGTTCCTGTTACATTGAAAAATAAGTATGTTTTAAAATTCTTTATGTATATTTTTATGTGGTATAATAGATTATTTTTATTTACAGAAAACAGTTTGTTGATTTGTATGTTGACTATATATTAAACCAATCTGTAGAAGCACACTTTCAAGCATTTTATCAGGGTTTCCATAAAGTTTGTGGTGGACGTGTGTTAGAATTATTTCATAGTAATGAACTTATGGCTGTGGTAGTAGGAAACGAAGATTACGATTGGGAGGAGTTAGAAAAGAATGCAACGTACAAACAAGGATATACAAAAGATGACCCTACTATTGTATTATTTTGGCAAGTGTTCCGCGAACTTCCATTAGAAGAAAAGAAAAAGTTTTTACTATTTTTAACTGGAAGCGATAGAATACCTATACAAGGCATGAAAGCAATCAAAGTAAGTCACCTAAATTCTACTTTATACTATTAGGTACAGTTTTGTAATGTTTTAATATTTTTTTATTTTAGATAACAATGCAACCAGTCGAGGATGAACGTTTATTACCTATTGCTCATACATGCTTTAATTTACTTGATCTCCCGCGATATCAAACTCGAGAAAGATTACGATATAAATTACTACAAGCAATTCAACAAACTCAAGGCTTTTCACTAGTATGAATTTATTAAATTGATAGTATACTATGTGCATAATACTTCATCAGCCATAATTATACTGAAATTTACAGTTAGATCATTTTGTATTTTTTAGAGGCTTTATATCTGCATTTTAAACAAAAGAATTTATCGTTCTATTTTTCTACGATTTATTTAGTTAATATCATCTAATCAAATATTAAAAAATATGTATATATGAAATTCAAACTGTTATTATAACTGTTATTATAACTAAGATAACATATACTGTTGACTTGCATCTAATTTTCTTATGAGAAATGGTATAATGTACCTCAAAGTATGAATCTAGATTCAAAGAACAAATAGTATTATGCACGTTATTCTGATAAAATGTTGATGAAATATAATTTTCTAAATTTTAACTTTATATTATATTCTTTATCAATGATTTGTTTTAAATAAAATAATATTTAAAATTATTACAATATGTGTGAATTAAAGAAAAATGATGAGTAAATAAATCAAAGATAATATTTGTTGATAGATTAATTTTTAGTATTTAAAAATATAATTTATAGTGTTAATTGTTTGATAAGGAACATCTCAATACTTAAGGAAGACTCTAAACATACACATTAAAAACTTATTTAAATTATAAGAAAAAAAGGAATGCTAATGGTTACATATTGGTATTTATTTAAATAATTTATTTGCTTATGTTTTAATGATAAAATAATACATAAAAATGTAATTTATTATAGAATTGGATATTATATTTTATAAATCGTACGAAAAAATGTATACATTGTTATAAATAAACATATCTTGTGTGATTAGACATAAAGGAAACTATTGTATTATATTCAAGTGTTATGCAGAAATAAATTTTTTTTAAATACGAAAGATATGTTCAATTATTGAATTTGTAAATATCTTTTATTTATACACATCAATATATTACATTATTAAAAAGTTTCGTTAGTTATTTAATAGACAATTTTTATGGTCATTTTTTTCGAACTTTTTCGATTTTAATGATATATTCATTAAACTTTTTCGGATTTTATTCGATTTGCATTCGAGCACTGGCTTTCGTTAGTCGCTGAGAAATTTGCGTTAATCGACATTTTTTTAACTTATAATAACAATATTCTATCGGAAAAGATACTTCGATTAATTCCGACCATTCTTTCACGAGATAAATATTTTTCTGTCAAAAGCATTAGTTTCTACTTATATGTCGATATATGGCGCTAGATAAAAACGAAAAAAAATACGATAAACGTTTTTAAAGCTATGTTATTATTTAGACTTTTATTCACAAACAAGAGTCGGCAATAAAAAGCAAGTGTTTCATCAGTCTCAGTATATACAAAATATGTTGAAATTCGAAATCCGAACAGAAGTGTTTTAAGAACCTGAAGAAGTGTCTTGTATATCTCGTGAAAGTATTATTTTGAACATTTGAACTAAGAACTGAAAGAGCGAAAAATGTACTTCGTCACGTGTATACAGTTCCAAGTCTTGCGTATAGAAAAAAATTTTATTAGAAACACATAAATTAAATATTAGATTATTTGTATGGTTCTTTTGCTTCTTTTCAATGCACAAATTTCGGAATCCAACGAAAATGGTCCTGAGTGATTTTTATTTTATTTTCCTCTTTTCGTTTATTTAAAAGAATTTCTGTGATATTTGATTTTCGAATAAGAAATAGAACACGTGTTACACTTAAAAAAATTTTGTAAAAAATCGTGCTCAGGACGAAGTTACAGAAAAGTAAATAATTTTCAAATAAATTTGCTAATGTTGATAGGCAGGGGTGAAATATTGAGTGCCTGGTGGAGCTCGATAACCCGGGTACGAACTATTCAAGGCGTGTTGAGCGAAAAATCCGCTGTAGTCCTTGTGCACTCTACGAGGCCTAAAAGCAGGACCTTTCGCCAATTCCATCCTGGCTCTGTTTTCGGCTTCTGTTTGAGCCTTTACTGATGGTGGTGGCCACTTCAGGTCTCCTCTCATGTTTCCGCTTATTGGAGCCTTTGTCGCAGCAGGTTGTGCTTGGTAAACTGGTGCTGGTGCCTACGGATAATATTTGTATTATTTATAAATATCAAAGTATAGATTGTAATACAGCTTATAGTAATCCACATTACATATAACAACTACTTAATCTTACCAGGACCAGACTTCTTGAAACTAGAAGTAGAGATTCGATCAAGAATCTATCTTAACTATTGCGAGATAATTTTTCAAAAAATACACAAATTTTTAAATAAATAATATTAAATGATTACTAAACTTCTACTGATTATTAGTTTCTACTTAATTTTTAAAAAAAGCTGTTTACGTTTGAAAATCATATCGAAATAGTATACAATACTAAATTACTTTTTAATAATTTCAGAAATATTGTTAATCTTCGATTTTCTCGATTAACTAGTTAATTAATTGATCAGTTAACGAATTTCGTAAGAGCTTTCAAGTATTAGATACGTTTATCAGAGTCAGTTTACCAAAGTTACTTTTTTGTAAATTATAATTATAACGTAGAAATGTAATACTGTAAACTTTGAATACAATTTCGCGAAAATTTTCAGAATAGCACATATTTCAGGATTGAGCTCATGCCAGACGGTGTATATGATTTCGTACGAACAGTTCCGGAAATTGTGTTATATCAACCAGACATCTAATATAAGTAATACGTGTGGGCGAAATACTCTATTTCATTTCGTTCTTTTGTTTGTTTCCTTTACCTGAAACGTTTAATTGGATACATTTAAATAAGTAATTACAATTGTTAATGCATTAGTAATGAATATATTTTTTATTAGTAACTATTAAATCAATTCTCATTAGTAATGAGTGCATTTTTCATTAGTAATTATTAAACTAGTATTCATTAGTAATGCTTTCTATGTGTACAAAATTTTATATTTGTGTTACAGAATATTCTTAAAATACTTTTCAAATGTATCTGAATATCAAAAATTGCTTTACACTTATAGAAAGTTAAAAATATTTCAGTTCATCAGACCTGTGAGATTGGAGGCTCCGGACGAAGTGTGATTGTGGAAGGTGGTGCTTCAAATGCAGCTGGGGCTTGGTTTTGTGACGGTCGTAGCGAATTATAATCTTGAGGGTGTTGCTGTAATTAAGATTACGATCAGATTAATTTCACAAATCGTATAATCGCGACATATCAGATTTTTTCAACGTAGTATGTATCCAGAGTATGTATCCAAACTTCTTCAAATTTAACAGCCGTTGACTACACGCTCGTTTCCAGAACAGTAGAGGAATATACACATAAAGCACTCGAAGGTAAAATAATTCCCTTGTTATCGTACGTATCTTCTGCGAAGTGATCCACCTGTTGAACTTATCAACTGTACATAGGTGTCGACTTTGAACAGAATTTAATAAGTTTGTACTAACAATAAGTTTAAATTTATACAGAGTATAAATAAGTTAAATATCTCGAATTTTAATCTTGTATTTATAACTATTTTCACAAAGTATTATACTCTTAATTTTTATAATTAATCCAAGTATTTATATTTTTATAAAATAACGAAAGAATCCTGCTTGTTGTAAATATAAATATTTTCCTAAAAGATAATTGTCTGTATTAAAATATTATAATATTAATAAATGTTGTAATATAATATCATATAAATAATTCAAATATCGCAGTACAAGAACGTCAATCTAAATAAATTTTACTCCAAGATTAAAATTCCAGCTTCAAATCCAAAAGAACAAGAAGTATAGGGTGCTTCATAACTGATGGTGCAGTTATAAAATTCACATTCCAATAAAAAACCAAGCTGAGCACGTGAAATAAAAATTTCTTATCTGCAGCTTCGTTATCGATAAACGTAATTTTGAACATTCGAAGACTTGCCAATTCTCATCACGCTTAAAACACATCACCAACCATCGTTCTCCAGATCTAACACTTTTTATCTCTAAAAGCAAACTTTTCGTGCAAGATTTTATTCCACGTCTTCAACTTCTTGTTTCGCTGAAACATCAAATGTTCTTTTAATAATTACAAAATGCTCTTTTGCCTAGCTTTGATATAAGTCGACACCTATGCTCCGGTCACTTGCCTGAGGATGATGATTCTGTTGTTGTTGCTGATTGTACCAGATTGGTTGAGTCGGTTGATGGGAGATCGGAGAAGTTGCCGGGGGTGTTACCGGTCGCCAACCTTTTGGCGCTGGCTGATGTTGGAAGTGTGATGGTTGTCGCAATGTACCACCTGGGCTAACCGGTGACGGAGATGACGGAACGGCACTCCTAGACGCCGGCTGAGGTGACGAACCTGACGAGGGACTGCTCTGGTACGAGGCGATATCACCGATTCCACGGGTCTTTCGAAGGGAAAACAGAGGCTTTTGTAGGCATTGCCATATTGAACGGTGAATTTTGTTCGCCTGATTCGATCATCCTTGCGAATATATTCAAGCGCGCAACTTCCTTGGAAGAATTGTCTCGGTATATCCGCCTCGACAGCCACAGTGGTGTAGTCAACCGCGTCGTCAAATGTATATTTACATTACTCGTATTAATGATATATATGTACATGATTTACGGACGTACTACGTGCGAACAACGTGCACGAATTAACAACTAACTGATTAACGGTGTAACAGCAAGCACGGGTGGAACAGTACATTCGTTAAGAAAAAAAGGAAGAAAAACATAAAGGGGACATTTGATGCACGCATACAGATGCACGGGCAAACAACGACGAGGCAGGTAAGAAAGAAAAAAATATAAGACAAAAATCACATGTAACTCGGCCAGTGATGCAGGAGTTTTGTATCGCTCTCGTTAAGTGAATATCGAAGTGTCGTTCAGCTGCGGCATCTTAGAACTGTTCAAAAGTCTATGACTATGGTGTACAATAGGTACGACAGTATCGCTAATTCATGTTTTATCATGAACACATGGATCTAACGCTAATCGTTCTATTCAATGTCATTAAGCATACGTGTAGTTTTGCAAGGATCTTCCAAATTGTGAAATTTACCTTCGCCTGTACAGGTCCCTGTTCCACGAAGTCGAAGTCCTGATCTTCTGGAGGTGGTGGCCAAGCTACGCGCTTGAGATCTGGAAGTAATTTGAATAATTTTTATGAGGTAATTATTGAATAATTTTTATGAGTGAAAGAATTTATTAAAATGAGATGTATGATGATGTTTTGTATTATTTACAAAAGCTTTCATGATAGTTGTTTAAGCATATATAACTTACATATGTTTCAGGCGGGATGTAAAAATAATTTTAGACTTCTGAATAAATAATCTAATAGAAGAGAAGATAATGGATATTTTCTAAGATTTTTCAATATCTAGCGTTAAACTTATATTCCAAGAGTTTGATAAACCACAAAACACTTGTCACATCAAAATTATGGTTGCTTCCTTAGATATGTAATTACCAATTATTTTAATTATTTTTATTTAGAGGTCAGTAAAATTATTTTTTAAATCATTTTTATACTTATGTTTGTAGCAAATATTTTTAAATTATTATTATTGTTATTCTACAATATACTAGATTCATGGACAAGTTTAGTAATATAATTTTGATAATTTTATCTTTCTAGAATGATCCATTTTCACATTTGAACTGTGATTTAAAGCTCGTTAGTTCAATGCATTGAACAAATAAATTTAGTTTTATGTGAGTCTGAAGTCTCATTCGACTTTTGATTTCATAAGGGTACGCGTAGATCGAAGTTAAAGTAGAAAGCATCGTGGAAATTTTCTTGTCAGATATCTGAATGCACCATATTTTTGTTCCTGAAAAAAGCTACAACGGAGATAACAAAAGCTTATTTGTAATGTATACAAGATGACTGGATCGAAACGGATGCGTCATGTTGCGTTTTAAGCTATGACGTATATACGTAAATTTTCGTGTATTTTTGTAGTGGTTGTTAAATTTTTCCAGTGCTTGTACTTTTTGCTATTTTTTACGAAGTTAAATATTTCACGTAAACTGTTGTTCTTTCTACAAAAATGTTGATATACGAAATCGAGTGACATATTTATGACTAATTAATAAAAAGAATTGTAAAACGAATAATATAATTAATTGGCAAAATCTGTTAATAATGAAATAACCATACTTTGAGTCTATTTAGTTATTTAGTTATTTTCTTCAAACTTGTCTAATATTTTAATTTATTTAAATATTTAATGTATTTAACACAGTATATATTGAAAAATATTTAAAATGAGTAATTTATATTTCCTTTATTTTGAATTATCAGTTCAATGTAAATCATTTTGATGCAAATTAAATATAAAAATTAAATTAAACTTTACTTAGTTTGATCTAAACTGAATGTAAAAGAATGGTATTAAGCTACACTACAATTTAAAGTGCCAATACAATGCAAATTGAATATAAAAACTGATCCAAAAGTGCTAATCCTATTAACAAGGTTTTATTAAAATATATATATAATTAGATTTAATTTCCTAATTTTTCTCTTGTTTTTATTTGTTTCTTCATTTGCATCTCCTTGTTTCTCGTTACCTATGTCATCTACATAAAAAAATTTTCTATTAATTTAATAATAATTTAAATGCTTGGTTTCCTGAAGTGTGATGATCCTAACGAAATTTTATCCAATACAAAATGATTTAGTACTTTCATAAGTTATTTTATAATAAGTTCTGATTATGACTGATATAATAAATTTGATACAGGCCCCTCATCAATACTTTTCATCGTATCTTAAATCTACGACGACGTTTTTGGCTGGGAACGCTGGATCGTGTTACGTTCCTCGTGTTTGATAAAAAGAAGCGTGGAAAAGAGTTGTTATTGCGTCAATAAAACGAATTATTATTCACGCTACTACACCACAACACCGGCCAAGTTTATATTTACGCGATTATTGCTGAAGAATTTTCACAATTTCGGCCCGACCTTGCAGTATTCTTAGGTTCTTTGGTTTTGGAGCCTTGAATATTGGATATCAACACGAGACCATGGATATAAAAATACATTTTTAGAAATAGAAACTGATTTGTTGCTAATAAAATGATTCATGTCAATATCAGTTAAGATAATTTATGATTTCACCGTGAGACCAGCATGCAAAGACGTGCCTCAGTTTCCATTTTGAAATCATTTCTATAGCACTATGTTAATATATTGGTTATAAAATTGTGCAGCTTTTTACATTACGTTATCATAGTGTATTGGTAAATATTATTGCAATGTACTTATAATTAGATACTACTAAGTATAGTTATATTATCCCAAATAATGGAATCTATGAGAAATTAACTGTAAACCTTATTCAAAAATTGTACAAATTATATAATTTCTGGCATGATTACTTGGATTATTACATTGCAGCATATAAGTTTCTAGGATAAATATGAATACAAATGGTATTAGTGCTAAATAATATTTGTTTTAGCAAGTACTGCCTAGCACATTTCAGATATATGAAACACATGTATACAGAATCACACTTGAAATAACATTGAGTTGTTACACTGATTTCTAAAAGCCTCGATTTTTCAATTTCACAAAACAAGCTTTTGTTAATAAATTCTGGTACATGAAAAAATGAAAATTCTAATAAAGAATTATTACTCTGATTCTTTATTAAATATTATGCGTTATATAAAATTGTAGAAATACAACCCCCTTACATTTAATAGATATTACACAAATCACAGTTTATAACACCATAAATTGCTGACACAGTAAAAGCACGAAAATTGCGTCACTCATACGAAATCCTGACCTATTAATCATTTACACACGTCGAGTGTAGATATATCAAACTTTCACTGGCAACCAGCAAATAGGAGCAATATTCTCCGTAAAACATACCGTTGTTTCACACACCTTTCTATAAGAAGCTCACTCAGCAACCGAGGAGATGTACAAGAAGAAGGAAACGACTTTGCCAAAACGGACACTCGCCAACAACTGACGCTACCCTGAAGTCACCTGTACCTTTCATTATCGTAGATCTCCTAGCCACCGAGTTTAGAGGCTTTTTGGTAACTGGCCAATAAGTGGGGGTTGATATGATGAAGAATATGAGACATATTGAATTTTGCAGAGAAATCCCGTTTAAAGAATGACACCGCATTTTCTATTAATTTTCACCACGTCATGTTTGTATTAACATGTTTAAATCAGGGACAAAATAAATGGGGGTAGTGTGCCACGTTAGCAATAAACTTTACATGTTGTTCAATGATTTAAATGACTATCAGATATTTGAAGTATGATATGAGTACTTTATACTATCTCTTACTTATCTTTGTGTAATGTTGCAATTATTTGCATCGACATAAGGAAAGATACTTAATTTTGTGGTCATGTTAAAACATTGGGAGCAAATAGGATATATAGTACTAAAGTTTGCAGTCATTATGCCATATTTTATGCCATGAGAAATATAAGAAAAATGTTGAATTGATGCAAACGACAATAATAGAGAATGATGTAAATTACAACAGTAATTTCTAACACAACAAATGAAATGCAAATTTAAAATAAAATAGATATGGAACGTTCTTATTTATCATTAACACGTTTTGTTTCATTCTATAACATTCATTACGTTTTCAAAATCATTCATCTTATAATTCGATTCTTAGATTTTCCTACTGAAATTCTTCAATTTTAGTGCCAAAGATAACAATGTACCGACTTTTGAATGATCTGTAGTGGAAATAATTATTATAGAATGTATGAAAAGAATCTTAGATCTTTTAACTGAGAAAATAATCTGTAATTATGGGCAATTAAGAAAAAATTCCCTTAAAATACAAGAATTTAGCAGCACGAAAATAAGAATTTTTCAATGTTACTTATCCAAAATAGCACTAATCACTAAACATTATGTTTGTTAGAACATTTCCCCGTATAAATTTTTTCTTTCTCAATCAATTTATAGTTTCATTCAACTGCATAACATTAATTGCTTAAAATAAAACATATTCTTATGTAATCTTGCAAAAGAAGAATAAATAATAATTTTCATTAGAGGTTTAAAAAATAAAAGATATCAATAATAAACTTGTCGCTAATATATCAATGATAATTTCTCTAACTTTTGGAAAATTATGAAATCAGCAAATGCCAAGCAATGAGATGATTATCTAAAGATGGAAAAAAGCAGATGACAGATAGAGTCATCAAGAAGGTGAAAAGGAAGCCAAAATTCGCGATATCAATAATGGGGTTGGAAAAGCCGTTGCACATCCCCGCTTGTTATCGCCAGAAATGACTTCTTTCAAGTTGACATCGTCAATGGTTGACAAGCAGGGTAGAAAGCAGAATATGAGAAAGGTTGGCTCAAAGCTCCTCATGCAAGTGACATTGTTAGTGTTCACCTCTCCGTAGATACATTAAACCGGCTTGTCTGAAAGTGATGTTAGTCTCCCAGGCTCATGATTAGCAGCTTGCAGCGTAAGATTCGCTTCTTGTTAGTCTTCTTCGTATGGGTTAATGCGCGACTTCGTGCTTCGGTGGCTGAAATCTTTGGATTAATTCCATTTATACTATGCGTACGTCGCGCCTTTTTAAATCGTTTGAAGTCGTTTCTTACAAATAAATTATGTTATTTCTATGTAAATGCGTGTATGAAATAATGCGTTGAAAAGCATGTACGATATATCATGTTCACTAAAGAGATATCGATTAATAAAATATCTAAGATTACATAGTCTACTTTACTTTGACTTTTAGCCAAACATTTAAAACGAGGACAGTAACACTTGCAAGTCGTGTCGACTTCTGGTATAATATTAATTCTAAGAAAATAATCGATCACTCTGAAGAGTATATAACTAATTCTCTGCATTTTTAATCGCTTATGAAATAGATTGTTTAGTTTAAAAAATGGTCTCCTTTCATTTTAACCATGAAAATTTATAACACTAAACATGAGATGTCTTTTTGAATTTAAGTAGTTGATAATAAAAGAACGTTTATACGAGATCACTTATCAGTTTATTATGATTTTTGTTCATGAGATAACGTTAGATTGAAAGAACACCCATCCAGTGGCAAGAAACGACTTCTGTGGCAAAAATTAAAAAATCCTTAGTTACTTACTGGGTTGACCACCAGCTCGTTGCCTTGCCTCTTCCTCTTCGAGCATTCGCAGAACCGCACTGTTTTGTAAATTCGCTGGTTTGGCGAGTTGGTTGAAGTCGATCCTGGAAGAAGCCATCAATACACATATTTATTATTCAAATTATAAAGATCGAGTATTTTTTCTACGATTACTTTGTATGTTTTTAATACTATATTGTAATTATAAATTCAGTAAACGATATTAGCGAGTGATAATTTATATCTGATATAAAATCTAACTATATGTATTTTCATTTCTGAGTTATCCATTACACATTGTAGCTAAAATAATTAAAGAATAATCTACCCAAATATAATAAGTTCATTTTTATAATTTAACATTAGAAATTTTAAAAGTACCGGATGATTTGTAAATTTGATATTTACTAAAATTTGATTATGTTATAATCATTTATATACTGTAATACAGAAAATTAATTAATAAGTTAAGAAAATTATTATTTATTATTAATTAATAAGAATATTTTATGCACAAAAATCTAACACAATCTCTGCTAAACTAGCTTCATCAAAGGACTGAAGCTCCAAATAGCACGAAACGTCTGGAATGCACGTTATTGTCATAACTTCTCTTATTTCTCTCTTCTACAACCCCTTCATACTTTTCTCTTTGTAACCCAATTATATTCTATTTTCCTCAGAATTGCTAAAAGTTTTCAAAAAATTCGACACACAATTTAGCTAACAAAAGAAGAAGAAAAAGAAATCATGAATTCTAGTAAGATTAATCCAACTATTCATTTAACTTCTTTTTATAATTGACTGACATAACGCGTTCAAACCCCTTCGTCTAATTTTTCTCAATCATGAATAAGCTTATTCGTTCCATTTGAACAAAAATTATCTAAGAAAGAACGAATGCAATGAATATCACCTGGTCTGAGCGAGCATCTTGATTACGAGGAAAGGGCGCGCAATACAGAAGGAAAGTTGCAGGACGCACGAGAAAACCGGTGGTGTACCATGCACCCCGAGGCCACCAAACGCGAAACTAAGTCAAGTACGACAGCGTTCGCGGACTTTGCGCAACGGCTAGGCTCTGAGCGGGGTTTATTTCTAACTCGTGTGATTCGACCCTCTGAAAATAACGGTCGACTCGCCAATGATGACGAGAAGGCTGATTCATCAACGTGCAACCGGTCAGCATCCACTCGTTGACGGTGGATCGATATGGATCCGTCGAACGTCACACGTGGACCAGGTGTGCAGCCTGTTTTGATTGACGCAAGGTGGTTGCGGTGCCAATGAGTCTTCTTTATACGTTGAACCGTGTATCTTAAAAACGCTTCCGAATTTTTTCGCGCGTGACAAAATTCCTAATTTACGTTTGATTAAAGTTTCTCTTGCCACAAATTAACGAACCGTTGTTTATTGTTACTTCAAGTTACGTAACCATCTTGTGTTCGAGTTGGAGTCGTAAATCATTTGTATGTAGATTATATGGTCGTACTAGTGTATCGGTTTTCCTGTTTATGCTTCATAGAAATTGTGTCAATTGTGTAATTGAAAAAGTTGTCTAAAATGAAAAAGAATTCTATTAATTCAAGATGTGTATATATATTTAAATAAAATACAAAGTAAAATAGAAATAGAAACGAATTTATTTAAAGAAAGTTATAAAAATAAAAAAAAAATATTGAATCGCCAAAGATTTTGTTAAGATGGTGTGTGATGGTGTGATGTTCTGTTTCAATAATGTGAGTGGCTTGGTGAGAGGAGAATTATTTTTATCAGCATTGTTCAACATGTTTATAAGATTCTGAATTCTTTTCAATGAAGATATCTTTGGAATAAAATTTCTAGAAATTTGCAACAGATGAACAAGAAATTTATATTATATTTATAAAACATGAAGTGATTTACGACATCAGTAGGATACTTAAAGTAAATGTATTTTTGGTTAATTATATATCACAAGCAACTAATTTATAACGAAGTGTATACTATTTCATAAGTGCAGTATTGCATGGAAAAGTGTAATATTGGAGAGACACCAAAATACATAGTTGTTTCTAGAAAAGTTTATAATTAAATCAAAATTGGACGCTCAATTTGCTTTCTAGTAATCATTATATAACGAAAACCGCGTAAATTAGTTTTTGGCATGTGTAATGTAGAACACAGAATTGAAGATATTTCCAAAAATTTAATTCAATATTGGATTTCAACGCAGAAGATTTGAGTTAATTTCGTATAAATTTGAATTATCAAATAACGATTTCGTTCGATACGTAAAATTTAATAACACTGAATATAGAAAAATCAGCTTACCCAACTGCACCATTAGCTAAAACTTGAGTTTGCCTATCCAAGGTTTCCTGTATTGCTTGAGGTGAATACAAATTGATAGGAGAGTTGAACTGTTTGTTCACAAACATTGTCCTTTGTGCGGCCATAGTTGTGTTTTTGTAGAATTAGTCTCTAATTCTGAAAAAAGACCAAATAATATAAAAAATTACGTACATATGTATAATTCTAGAAAAATATAAAATTCTACAAAAATTACTAGTCGAATTACTAATTTTATGTTATATGAATTATAAAATATTTACTTTTTTAATTTTATATATAATGTGCATAAATACTTCGCATTATCATTTAATTATGAAAAATTGTATATTGCAAAAATGTGTTTAATTTTAGTTAACCGCTATATATCTGTCATATTTCATTAATAATAAACTTGTACAAAAATTTTAGGATTTTGTATAAATTTTGTGTATGTTAAAGCGTGTTAAATATAATTTTAATCATGTGATAAGTGTAGACCATTATTGTATGGTTTGATATAGAAAATTGATGACATGCTAGATTCAACATTGCAGCGCATAGAGTTACAAAGTGCTTGCATAATATTATATATACTATCTTTCATAATATTATTACAATATTGTTTAATACTTACGTAACAATAAATAGAATTTGGTGTTGATGTTAAATACAAATTTTACAGATTGTTGTAGCAAAAATATCATAAAAACGCTATATACTAGTAGTTATTCGTTTAAACGACTTTTCAAACATACGTAACGAACAAAGTTCTTTTTTAAACAATTCTACCTGACGAGTGCTTGCGACAAAATGCGCAAATATTGACCTTCATAGCAAAGTGTGCAAGTATAAAAATAGAGGTAATTAACATCTATCATGTACCGGCCGCGTTAACTATTTACCTCAAAATTGTCGCTCAAACGATATCATGAATCTGCGTATCGCAATATCCTTCGAAAAACTAGGCCAAATGAGGCGGAACAAATAAGGCATTAATATAATCACCGTTTGGCAAAGGAACGTGGTATCTCGATTAAATCATTCTGCTAATCAAACATTAATTTAACGACTGTGGCTACTAATTCAGTAAATTCGAGAAAATTCTGCCTTGTTGTTGTCAGTAATTAATTGTTGCCGGCCATGTGACTTTAGCAATAATTAATTACTTGTATTCGTCCCGATTTAACGATACATCACCGCAGATTGGCACGTGCGAATAATTATAAGAGAATCGAAAACGCAATCTCGTAACATAAAGACCATTAGCCAACGATGATTCATCGTCGAACTGATCGTATATTGTAACGAAGTACAAACAGCTTTGCAAGAAGTGGGTCACGAATCATCGCCACGATGTTTCGGGTTCGTTCGCGAAGTGTTTGGATATTCGATATCCAAACGGGAGGCGATCGTTATTCGAGAATTCGTGCCAAGAAATATGCAGGGGCGTATCGTGAAATGGGAGAATCTTTCAAAACCGCGAAATCCAGGGAAGTGGTCATCGATCATCTTCGCCTTCTGAGTAGCTACTAACTTTATACTGTCTTCCTCCGCAATTCGGCAGACACACTTCGAGTTCATTGACATATATGTCTCTTAGAAATAGAAGTATCTTGTTTACCGTGTACACAACCACTTGCAAGGGATGTGACTGCGGCTATCCTGGTACGTAGAGGAGAAATCTAAAAGAAATAAAAAGAAAATGTAAATTAAAAATCTGCTATGCGAAAATGTGTGTTATTTATGATATATAAAATTTAGAAATTCGCTGAGGAGTTAAACAATTGAAGGTAGTTAAATAATATAAATCTATAATAAATATAATAAGTGATAGTATAGCTGTTAATTATAATAAAAATTTATTATACTTGAAGATACGTAATTTTCCACTATGTTTAATATCTTTAGAATATTTATAATTCTTTGGTAATAAAGATGTAAAATGCTTATTGTTACTTCTAAATATAACGATTATCCATTCAGCTAACATTACCAAGATTTTCCTTTTGATCTTCCAAGTACCTCATATTTTATTAGCATCGAATTAAGTTTAATGTGGCGTTTACTATAATTCGATTGCATTATTTTAATGCCTTTTCACATCAACCACGTGTTATTAAAAATATTTAATAATTAAAAAAATATTTTCATAGCAGACGGTGCGAATCATCTAATCCCTTAAATTAAAAACAAACGTTAAAATAAAAATAAATGAATATTATATTTTATTTAAGTTAAATGAAAATTCGTTGTAAGGTTAAGTATTATAGTTGCACATTCTATCATATTTTTGAAGATATCTATTCCAAAAATATTGTCACTTTAGATTATGTTATCAGAAACGATATGCTAATACATGATAATTGGAACGCAAATGAAGAATTAATAATAAGTGGAACAAATATGAACAAAAATTAAACATGTACGTTTGCTGCAAAATAAATCCTATCCTAGTCCTATTACGTAATCAGTAAATTACGAATTTTATCAAGTTCGTAGTTCGATAGATCGTACATTGTTTAAACAATATTTCCGACATTTGCTATTTCAAGGAAGAATAGTTTATGCATACATTTCGAAAGCAGAGCCGATAAAATAACCTAAACCACCTGTCTTGCAAAATTTCAAATAAAATTTAAAACATTACTTCCGACCATGCATTTGTTAATAAAATAAATATATAAATGTCGATAATAAAAAAGCATTCGAATCTAGCAGAGTAAAAGGACCTCGTATCCTATTGGTTGAATCCGTCAGTATGGAACTCGGTTACGCCGTCACTAATGGCCGGAAACTCGGACGAAAACAGCGAAGAATTGAAAAACGAAGGTGTACACGGGCAAAGCGCACGTTTATCTTATGAAAGTTTCGGATTCTCTCTGACGCGTCACTGCTGAGCAGCCACCGGTAGTCTACCGCAGTTATTTTTGCTACGAAATTCCTCCGAATATATCTACATCGTCCGCAAAATCTCTACATCTCCCTCTTTCCACTTCGTGACCCGAAGCACCCAATGGTACTTATGGGTCGTATTAGATTACAGCGGAATTACGGATTCGATAGTGTATGAGAAAGCCGGCCAAACCTTTCGAAAGATTCAGGCGACAATTAGTCTCGGAAATCTATGACGAACGTTGTTTTTCGAAACACACACAATCCACACGCGGTTGCATTTACATAACTGATATCTATTCCAAGCTCATTCGTTGGTATTTGGACGATGCTTGTGTTGCAGGCTACTGGGTATTCAACTGTGAGGCTCGGAGGGGTAAGAAATCGTGCCAGTTTTCCAAAAAATTTATACATAGCCTCACGTCTAAAAACGTTCGATCGCGCATTTTTTCACATGTATCGATATTTTCTTACCTAAACATATCGTACATATCTTGGCAACGTGACGAAAAATGTTCGAAAATGACTGGAACTTTGCCCTTGTTTGCTAAACAAGCGTATGACTTGTGTAGTTACATGTATCACGTAATCTATTTTAACGCTTACTGTTACAATTATGTCGTGTTCGTAAAAACTTTTGACTATATTTTCTATCACGATTAAATTTTTCTCGTTGCGAATAATATTGTACGAAACTCGAAACAATATAATTAAATAATATCGAAATTTTATTTTTGGAGAAAATTGTAGGTAATTTGACCCTGATTGTTTTGCTTGAACGAACGAAATCGATAAAGATCGAAAAGTTACGTTTCCTGGTGGCAGCAGTATGTAACTCGTGATTTAATATCGATAAACGAGAACGCAAAACGTTACGTGGTTCTGAGTCGATCGTCTAACATGGATAACATCGCTAATGTCGTGGTCGATAATCGTTTGGAACGACTGTTACCAACGACCGCTTTAAGAATCAATCGTATCGTATCGCAACTGGATACACAATAGTTGATGTATTCAGTCGATTTCGTAATCATGTGTTACCGACAGTTTTTTCTACAACAAATGTGAAACTTGATCGGATTGTGTAGAATTTTCAAAAAAATAAAACACAAAGCAGAAACAAAATAAATTTGTTTGAATTCAGTGTAGTATAGAAAAAGAATTACGTAGATAACCGTAGAAACTGTAGATAAGTTAATGTAACAGGCAGAGTATACTTCTTATCGCCTTATGTTTTACGCAAATATTTGAATATTCTTCAAATCGTATGATAACAAACGATTCGCCTGGATAAAATAAGCGGAAGTCATCTGTCGTTCTCGTTTTTTTTTCCTTTTTTTTTTTACGATAAATATGAAAAATTATTGCATAGAATAGAAGAAATATAAATAAAAATAATAATATATTTCTATTCTTTTAGCAGAATGGATAAGATGTACAGTATTATAAAATGTTAAGTGTGCAAACAACCTCCTGTCTTCAACGTCAGATAGAGTTGCTTAGTTGTGTGAATTATACCGACACGTGAATCCTCGTTCATTCTCGTCATCGCCGAAAATTTTCAGGTAGTACCACATCTCATACATTATTTTGCATGCTGCAAACCGCAATAAACTTTGACGCGAATGTGTTTTGACAAGGCGTTATGTCGAAACACGATTCGATAAATTCTGAATCGTAACGTATTTATATCACGACCATTTTTTTCGATACGATGTTACGTATTACAATTTCAAAAATTATAAACAACGTACGATAAACAAATGCTTAAATTACTTTCTTCTTTTATTCTTACATGTCTCTTCTGGAAATGTTCCGACTTTTTTCGACTAATCCAAAACGTACGTATATTTTTCTTTTTTTATTTCATTCGCGATATAAATCATCCCCAGGGTCACTCAGCGAAATTTTCAAATTTGCAAGACGAAAATGCGAAGCATGACGATCACAATGACGAGCACCTACCTTCGCGTTAGAACGCAAGGCACGCGGGTTTCTTGGGTGGCGAAACACACTGGACTCGGAAAAGCGAAAGCACGGGAGTAGCAGCGAGAACCACCCCCTCCCTG